ATAATTTGCAAACCTTTAAGGATATTAAAAAGAGAAGTTCAACAAACCTATGCTTAAGTAATTGTAGAAAACACCTTCATAAGCCATCGCCAGTGGAGGCGCGTCTATTCCCGCGTCCAAACCCTGAAACCACAAGAAAGCCTGGTTAATTACTAGATCATGGCAATATACAAAATCAAATGCTAATGATTCAATGAGAAGAAGCAAGCCTAATGAAATAGAGCCAAACCTGATCAAGTTCGTTTTCCTCGGCGGGTTTTAAAGAATAAGGAGGATCCACGACTTCTCCAGATGGCATTGACACTAAAATCTTCCAGCTGAAACACCATATAACCAAAGCACACATGTTATTACAACAAGACAAATAGAATAAAAGTTAAATGCTTTGAGCAAAATAAGACTTTTACCTGTCAAGTCTAGCAACTGGACCCATACTTGCGCGATGGAGTGTTCTTTTAACAGCGGATCTCCATGCAAAAGGGAACGAACCACCCTGAAGAAGAGATAGCCAAAAAAAACATATTCAATCACAACTCAAGAGTTTTGTCACGACAACATAAGAAAGAAGAACAAAGACAAACTCACCCAACCAAAACTCCTTGAGAGATCATTCCCTGTACCGAGAGGAATAACTCCAACAGGAGGAATATGTGACTTTCCTTCTTTATTAAGCTCTCCAAGACATCCAAGAACCCAACCAACAGTACCATCACCACCTGCAACCTATCCAACCAATTCCATTCACAATTCTGATTGCTAAAAAACGTAAAGATCATGAGATTAGAGAAACATTGAGAGTACTCACCATAATCCTCAATCTTGCTCTGCATTCTTTTGCACATTCATCTCCTTCCGCTGCCACTTTCTCCAAACACCCCAACCCGTATCGAACAAACTCATGAGGCTTCACTTCCGTGAGGTCAAACACCTGTATTCACACAAAAATCACCATGAAGTTTCATTATCAAAAGCTCAAACCAATAACTTGACAACAAAACTCATTAAGTTCCAACCAATTTACAGAATCACCATTAAGTTGCAATATCAAAGCTCAACAACAAAACTCATAGATTTTACTTTACAACAATTCAGCATTCCAAAAGACTCAATCTTTGAACTTAATTCATCCTTCCAAGTTCCAACAAAACACAAGATCTAACATCAGCTAAGCATAAACACATAAATCAAGCACTTAAAACTTAAAAGCCAGAGACTTTAATACAAAAACAACATAAGATCTGATCAAGAAAAATTACTAAACTAACTCAAACCAAAACACAAAGTAGATTTGAAATTGAAGTCAAAGTAAAAACAAAACCTGTTCTTCGCTCATCAACTGTTGAAGCCTCTCTTTAAGCACAGGTCCATGACGACCACCAGAATTGGGGTTAATGAAAACAACCATTGGAGCATGAGGAGCCATATCAGCAACAGCACCACCAGGAAGAAGCAAATGATCAGGAATAGCCGTGGAATCTTTCCGTTTGATACAGTCACGCATAGCGAGACGAAGATACTCAGGCATCATCAACCTCTGACGAAGCTCTACTTTATCTACACCAACCCATGTCAGATTAGCGAGTCCACAACCTCTCATCGTCTTTGAATCAGCCGTTGATGGTCGTGAAGCCACGAATTTCTCTTTTGACGCATCGGTTTTTGATACCGGAGAGTCCATTTAGTCTCGCCGGAGAAGACAAAAAAAAAAAGATGATTACTTTTCGTTCTGTGATTGGAGAGAAAGAGGAATATTCGTAACCCAGATAATCAAAATTAGAGTTGAAAATAAAATTAAAGGATTGGTTTTTTTTTCTTCTTCTTCTTCGCTGAGAGATTTCAAATCAACCAATATAAAATCTTCGTTTGACAGTTTGTATTTTCTTGTCTGTTTGTTTTTTTTTTTTTATAAATGATAATTTCCGAAGACAGCGCACAAAACGTGTGAATTAATTATAAAATAAATATAATTTTCAAAAAAAAAGGAATTACACGGTTGGATTTCAATGTGACGTCATAAAAATGCCCATCTACACGTTGCTTATTCACGAAAGTGCCCCTCTCTAGATCTTTGATTCTTTTTATTGTTTGACATTTAGAAAGCGACTGATAAATGTTTTGTAAAAGTTCTATTTTATGATAATTTTCATTAATAATAATATATTAATATTAAACTTCTAAGATTTGTATAGTTTAATACCATTATTGTCTGTAATTAAGATTTGAGGATTTTTTTTTTCAGTAAGATCTAAAGTTTTTTTTTTCTTTTAAAGATCTAAAGTTAATTTTAAGGTGTACAAAATCTTTTCTATGATTTTAATTTTAAAGATCTAAAGTTAATTTTAATGATGACATAAAGATATATTTTTTTAAATGAGATTTTTTTTTTACTTTATTGTATGTCTCTAAAATTACTAGAAATCATGGTATATCAAGAAAACCAAAGCAAATTAAACAATAGTAATTGATTGATACATTGTTAGAATAAGATCTAATTCTATTTTAATATCAAAAATGGTACCATTAGAGGTTATAATATGTGGTGAATATGATTGAATACAATTTAATATAGAGATACTTGCATTATTTGCTTCCTATTATTTGACTTCATTATTGGTTTCTTTTTCTATGTAAAAAATTATTTTCAACTTTTCCAATAGAAAACAAAATTCACTCACATTATTATGCTTAGAAAGAGTGGCGTTTTCGTCATTAAACAAATGAATAGTTTTGGTGTTAACGTAAATTGTTTTAAAAAAAAAAAAACAGCGAAGGGAGGCAATAAAAATGAGAGAGCACACAATTAACGAATTAATTACGGATTTTGCCCTTTTTTATAATGGCATTTATGGATTTTGCCATTTTTTGAATAATTTATGGATTTTGCCCTTTTTTAGGCTCCAAAAATATGATTTAACATGCGTTTCATTCGTTATGTTTGGGTTTAGTCGGTTCCAGTTGTTCTTAGGGTTTAGTATTTGGTATAATGTACGTATTTTTGCCAAAAAAAATCATAAATACGTACATTTTAAGTGTTAAAAAAGGGTAAAATCCATAAATTATTCAAAAAATGGCAAAATCTATAAATGCCATTATAAAAAAGGGCAAAATCTGTAATAATCCCCACAATTAACGGTAGTGGATCTTCCACAGAATATTGCCCACTAAGAAATTAGGGTCACTGAAAGTGATAGCTACTTCTCCTTGTTGGGATCTTTGTGTGTACTTTTCTCACCTAAGTTTCCCTCTATGCCTTTTCTTAACTTCTAGAATTGGTTCAAAGTATATAAATTTCACACACAAAAAAAAAAAACACATGTACCACCTTCTTTATTTCATGATATCAGATGTTTTAGGAAAACAAAAAATATATATAATGTTTTATAACCAAGAATTGTCAAAGCTTTTTGGTCCATGTAAGCATTTTTATGTGGCAGAGAGGAAGAATAAAATTCTGGTGGCTGATAAAAAGTGTCGCTTTATGATCTTTATGAAATGGAAGACAATGAGCGTGACTTCTCATTGTTACTTTGAGGTATATTTACTTTCTTTTTTGTTAAGAAAAATCATTTCAAAGTTTTATTTTGTTATAGAAGTGTTTATGGTCTGGTAATTCTTGTTTTGGTAGATGGACAGTAAACTGGGTGTGGGCCAATGCTAGGCGGCGTGTAAGCCCAAAATTTGGAAAGCTTTAGCCTAGCCCAAAAGAGAAGAACGAATAGCGTGCTATTTTGTGAATTAAATTGGGAAAAATGTCGTTAAAATCCCCAACTTATTCAAAACGTTAATTTAAATCCTCAACTCATGACGAAACGAAATAAATATCAAACTTATGTTGACTTTCCAAATAAATATTAAATTTAGCGTGCTATTTTGTGAATTAAATTGGGAAAAATGTCGTTAAAATCCCCAACTTATTCAAAACGTTAATTTAAATCCTCAACTCATGACAAAACGAAATAAATATCAAACTTATGTTGACTTTCCAAATAAATATCAAACTTATGTTGACTTTCCAAATAAATATCAAACTTCCGTTGACCTGGCCATATTAGGTACGACGTTGAGTGGGTTAATAGATCTCGTTAACGGAGGTAATTTTCTGTTAACATATATGTTAATTGATAACGACATTGTTTCATATAACAACAAAACGACGTCGTTATGTCGTAACGATTGAATTAAATCCCTAAAGTCAATCTTAGATCCCCAAATCGAGCATTATCCCTAACCCTAAATAGAGTATGATTTGAAACTCGGGATTTTATTGAACAGTTACGACAAAACAACGTCGTTTTATGTTTAGAAGGAATACTTGTTAGTGTTTTGATCAACAAACGAACTCTGTTTTAACAGAGTATGAAGAAACTTGATCTTATTGATAAGATAAAATGTATTACACACAATGATATTATTGAGTTTGACTCGATCTACTTATACAACACGAAACAACGTATACGTACATGTGTTAATCGAAAAGACACAACTTTACGAACAGACACAACTATACGTACGTACATTTGTGACTCTTACGTAAATAACTAACTTATATGAATACGGCTTTAGGTTATATGACTTAGATGAGATTTGATTATAGTTCAACAATACTGTCATTTTTAATTAGCGGGTCTGTTAACAGAAAATTAATCCTGTTAACATTGTCTGTTAACTCACTTAACCTCATGCCTAATATGGCCAAGTCAATGAAAGTTTGGTGTTTATTTGGAAAGTCAACATAAGTTTAATATTTATTTGGAAAGTCAACATAAGTTTGATATTTATTTCGTTTCGTCGTGAGTTGAGGATTTAAATCAACGTTTTGAATAAGTTGGGGATTTTAATGACATTTTTCCCGAATTAAATTGCAAAGTTATCTAACTCAAATTTGAATTAAATTGAATAAAATAAATAAAATTCGAGTAGGAAACCGACAATTATAAGAAAAAGTTGTAAAATAAATATTCAACAAAAAAAAAAAAAATGTTGTAAAATAGTTTTTTATTGACAAATGGAAAATAAAGTTGGGAAAAAAGACAAACAGTAAGCGTTACGAATAAAACCCTACCTCTTACCTTATATTTATATACCTTAAAACGCCACCTGACTTTATCAAAACCAAAAAAAACAACCTTCAACGGCACGCTTTCTCCTCTGAAATCTCTCCGACAAAACTTGTTCAATCTACCATACTTCAGGTTTGTGTTAATCGTTTTAAGAGAAGTTAAGTGAAAGAGATTGATAACCCTAATTGAATTTAATCGTTTCTTGATTGAGAATCCAAAACTATTGTGAAGTATGGAACCCATACATCGTTGCATAGAAACCCTAGTTTCTGAACACCCTTGTGTTATTGTATTGACTCTGATCAACCAGTACTAAAGTTGTGAACTTTGATTGATTCCATTAGTGTTTTAAGATAAAATCTGTCGTGATGTCGAAGAACAAGGGCTTAGCTGAACAAGATCTAAGTAAACTTGATGTAGCTCAGCTACATCCTCTCTCTCCTGAGGTCATCTCTCGACAAGCCACAATTAATATAGGTAAGACACAAGTTTTTGTTTCATTGAGTTTTGATGTTAAAGAACCTGAGCCGTGCATTGAAAGCTAAAGATATAACTATCTCAGGGACTATTGGCCATGTTGCTCACGGGAAATCGACAATCGTGAAAGCTATTTCCGGTGTGCATACTGTTAAATTTAAGAGTGAATTGGAGCGTAACATTACCATTAAACTTGGTTATGCAAACGCAAAGATTTACAAATGTGAAAAATGCCCTAGACCAGTAGCCTACAAGTGAGTTCTTGCTTTTCTTTTAATGTTCTTCTTTCGATGTAATATGGTTATGTAGCAGCTTATGATCTGTGTTAATAATAGGTCTTTCGGGAGTGGCAAAGAAGACAATCCAACTTGTGATGTCTCTGGACATGAGATGTGCAAGATGAAACTACTGAGACATGTCTCATTTGTCGATTGTCCGGTATAATGAGTTTTAACACTTCTCTGTTTTGAAAGTCTTATGTAATCATTGCCTATGTCAATGAGGTGTTTTGTGTGTTGATAGGGACACGATATTCTGATGGCGACAATGTTGAATGGAGCAGCGATTATGGATGGTGCTCTACTAATCATTGCTGCAAATGAGACATGTCCGCAACCACAAACTGCAGAACATCTTGCTTCTGTTGATATGATGCACCTTAAAGATATCATAATCATTCAGAACAAGATTGATCTCATCCAAGAAAACGAGGCTAGGAGACAGCACGAGGACATTCAGAGATTTATAACGGTTTGATTGATTTTTCCCCATCTCTTAAGAATCTGTTTTTGCATTTTTCACTTCTTGATCAGTTGGTTAAGTTTTAAACTTGTTGCAGAACACAAATGCGGAAGGTGCTCCTATAGTTCCTGTCTCAGCGCAACTGAAATACAACATCGATGTTTTGTGTGAGTACATTGTCAAGAAGATTCCAATCCCTGAGAGGGATTTTGTGTCACCTCCAAGGATGATTGTGATTCGTTCTTTTGATGTCAATAAACCTGGTTCTGACTATAATGATATGAAAGGTGGAGTCGCAGGTGGAAGTATCCTCCAGGTATGCTCAATACACCGAAAACTAGGATAAAATCGCGGTTGAGACAATGTAATTAATATGTCTCTTTGCTTTGTTTGTAGGGTGTTTTGAAAGTGGGGCATATAATAGAGATTAGACCTGGAATTACTGGCAAAGATGAGCATGGAGACACTAAATGCACTCCCATTTACACACGTATAACTTCATTGTACGCGGAACAGAACGAGCTTCAGTTTGCTGTCCCGGGAGGTTTAATTGGGATTGGGACAAGCATGGATCCTACGCTTACGCGTGGTGATAGGTTAGTTGGTCAAGTCCTTGGTGAAATAGGTACTCTCCCTGATGTCTATGTTGAGCTTGAAGTAAGTTTCCAGCTTCTGACACGTCTCATTGGAGTAAAGACAAAGGAAACAGAGAGGCAAATGAGAGTGTCAAAGCTAATCAAGGGAGAGGTACTGATGTTGAATATCGGATCAATGTCGACGGGAGCTACGGTTATTGGAGTAAAGAAAGATATGATGAAAGTGAAACTGACGCTCCCTGTATGCACCAACATAGGAGAGAAAGTGGCTATAAGTCGCCGTGTTGATAGGCATTGGCGTTTGATCGGTCGCGGTCAGATTGAGGCTGGAACCACCATTCCCATACCTGATCCTCCTTCTTTGCCATGATTATATTTGCTGCGTTCACAAACCAAACTTCTTGTCTCATTATATCTTCATAGTATTCTTAATCTGTCACCAAAGGAGATGACTAAATTTCTAGGTTCCAATGCTTTTTGTGTGAAGTCTAACTAGAGTTTGATCAATTGCATCATCTTGTTTTGTTATATTGATTTGTTAGAAAAAGTTTATAGTCTATGGTATGGATTTTAAAGCTTAATTAAACTAGTCATCCTAGTTTATATATATGGAATCTTGGTTTGAGAGAAAACTTGGTAATAATTTGTGACTAGTTTATGTGCTAAACCAGAAAGATTATGTGCAAAAGATGCATTGGGCCTATAAGGCCTGGCCCATTATCTGGATTCCATAATAAGAAAAAAAGAAAATGAAAAAGAAAAGAAGAAATCGTCGTTGTTGTGGAGAAGGAGAAGAAGAAGGATAAGGATGATAACGGTAAGCGAAGTTTCCTCTTTCTCTTCTTCTTCTTCAAACTTCGCGTCTCTGTCTCGTCTCAACTACAAATCATCTTCGAGATTCCGAAGCTCTTCTCTTTATAGAGCAAGCTTCTCTGTTTCGACAAAGACCAGGAACACTTGTAAAGCCAAATCATGGAATCTTGGTCTTGTTATCAACTCTAGAAGGTACTTCTTCTTTCAGATTTCAATCTTTATCTCTGATGGATTCTATTTGAAATCGAAGATTCTGGTCTTGTTTTAGATAATGCGACTTAAAGTTCGAAACTTTTCATGTGAATTTCTCTAGAATTGTGGAGATTTGAGGGGTTTTTCATCACTTGTTCATAGAAATTTATCAACAAATGCGGATGTTTTGTCGCTTACTGCTGCATTGTTTGTTGATTGGAGTTGATGTTTCAGCTCTGAAGCTTCGGTTTTTGATCCGTTGGGGATCAATCCAGATGAAACTTCTGGTTTAAGTAGCATTTGGGAAAGCTTTGTTAGTCTTTTGTCTCCATCATATGAAAGCTCATCCGGTAGCAAACGAGATAAGCCGTCTTCTGGTCGGGGCGTGGCAGGTTCGTTTTTGCTTATATACATTTGCTTATTGTGTGTTTTAGCATGATTGATGATGCTTAGTTTACTCTTTGAATCATCAGCTGCTATTGAGGACAGTTCCATTGATTTTGGAGATTTCTTCAAAGGGCCATTACCGGGGAAGTTTCTGAAGCTTCTTGGATTTTTAGCGCTCTCTCGGCTTGGAATATATATACCACTCGGTGGGGTTAATCGAGAAGCTTTTGTTGGAAATTTGGATCAGAATAGCATTTTGAGCACTTTAGATACATTTTCTGGTGGAGGTATTGGTAGACTTGGTATATGTTCTCTCGGGATTGTTCCTTTCATCAACGCACAGATTGTGTTTCAGCTTCTTGCTCAAGTCTATCCAAAGTTGCAAGATCTTCAGAAAAAAGAAGGTGAAGCCGGTAGAAAAAAGATTCTTCAGTACACTAGATATGCTTCAGTCGGTTTTGCAATAGTACAAGCAATCGGACAAGTGTTTTACCTTCGTCCTTACGTTAATGACTTTAGCACGGAATGGGCTATTTCTTCTGTTACGTTATTGTCGCTTGGTTCTGTTCTCACTACATATATTGGAGAGAGAATCTCTGATCTTAAACTTGGAAATGGCACTTCCCTTTTAATCTTCACAAGTATCATCTCTTACTTGCCTGCATCATTCGGTAGAACAGCAGCAGAGGCCTTACAGGAAGGAAACTATACTGGTCTTGCCACCATCGTTGTCTCATTTCTCCTCTTGGTACTTGGGATTGTGTATGTTCAGGTACTATACCAAATTTTGTTCCTTTTAATGGATCTAAGAAGTTTTGTATGCTTGTATAGTCTAACATGCAAAGTTTTTCAGGAAGCAGAGAGGAAAATTCCGCTCAATTATGCCTCGAGATACACCAGCAAAGCCGGCGGGCTTCAGAAATCTGCTTATCTTCCATTCAAGGTCAATAGTGCTGGAGTAATGCCTATCATATTCTCCACATCTTCTCTTGCTCTTCCCGCTACTCTAGCACGATTTACCGGCATATCTGCTCTGAAAAATGTTGCTTTTGCTTTAAACCCTGGAGGTAAGATCTCCTAATACGTCCTTTGAAACTGTTTTTGCCAATGATATAGAGATCTAAAGACTTAACACACAAACTATTGCAGGTTCTTTCTATCTTCCAACCAATATACTTCTCATAGCTTTCTTCAACTACTACTACACTTTCTTGCAACTTGACCCGGACGATGTGAGTGAACAATTAAAACGCCAAGGTGCATCGATCCCTCTAGTCCGACCTGGTAAAAGCACTGCTCTCTTCATCAAAACCGTAAGATCCTCTCTCTCTTTCCTCAACTTCTTCAAACTACCCATATTTAGGTTTATTATTATTAATCCATTGCCTGAAATTCCCTTGCTCTGATTGCAATATCAGGTCCTTGGTCGGATATCGGTTCTTGGTTCTGCATTTCTGGCTGTTCTAGCTGCTGGTCCCGCTGTAGTCGAACAGATCACTCACTTGACAGCATTCAGAGGATTTGCAGGCACTTCTGTTCTGATCCTTGTCGGGTGTGCGACAGATACTGCAAGAAAGGTTCAAGCAGAGATAATCTCGCAAAAGTACAAGAACATTGAATTTTACGAGCTTGACAAGTATGATCCATGAACTGGTACCACCTTCTGTTTTACATATGATACCATCGAATCAAGTTACTGTGTTCTCTTGTCATAGATTCAAACTATGTAACAAATATTTTAACTTTGATTAGTATATAATGCACTTTTGTCATGAGCTTGCCAAAGGAAAGTGAAACCTTAAGAGCACTGCTCTCTTCGATAAGAAAACAAAATTGAAATGAATTCATATAATATCTATTTCCTTTTCTATGTATAAGCATCTCACACGGGGACAAAGTAACCGAATTGACCAGTTCAAGATACTCTGTACAAAAGGCATATCGCAAACCCTAGAACCCTTTCATGTAACCTAAACCTTCAAATCCTACAATCTTTTAATATCACAACAACATAAAATCTAGAGCAAACCCTTTTAAAGATCTATGCTTTCGTTTCGACATTGTCCCATAGGCTGTTGAAAAGTGAACTTGCTCTGTTTCTGCTGTTGTTCATGCTTTGATCCATCTGAAGCTGAGGCCAACCATTCAAGCATCTTGATAACACTTGGGGTATCATCGAGATAGTACTTGGCCTTGCTCGGTTTCTGACCCACTGTGCACGCAAACACCTCTGCGAGACCAATAGAGGAGACATCTTGGTGCTTCACTATGCTATCAAACATGTCCTCATCAGACCGGTCATCACCAATGCACAACAAAAAGTCCGGTCTCTTCCCTTTGGTGTTCCTCATCGTTGCTATCAAATACTCCACCACCTTTCCTTTGCTTACTCCCTGAAAACCAAATTCACATTACAATGATGATAATAATGGCAATTTCGAGCAAGTAAATCTTATAGTAGCTTGTAATATATACCTGAGGTTTAACTTCTACTATGTGCTGGCCTCTCTTGACAACAACGGGCTCATTGGTGAGCACGCTCTCTAGATGATCAAGAAGCTCCTTAGCTTGCCAAGAACCGAATGAATGGTCAGCTTCTTGGTAGTGCCACACCATAGCACTCTCTTTCTCCTCGATGAATGATCCATCAGTCGCTTCCATATAGTGATTCATCACTGGTTTAGCTATCTTCTTCCAGCTTAAATCCGCAGGCAATTCACTTGTCTCCCATGGGGAATTAGAGTTCCATCTGTGATTACAGAATCAAAAGGAGAACAGTATTAGCTTTACACAAATGAGAGAGAAGATGATGAAAGCGAAGGGTTTTAGCAGTACCTAGTGAAATAACCATGTTCAGCTGAGATACCGAGATTTGGACAAGAGTCAAACCATTTGCTGAGAGGGTCCTTACCTCGACCACTAACAATAAAGACTAGATTGTTGGGGTCGTCACACAAGCGGTTGAGAAGCGAGATGAGATCATCACTAGGCCTTTTATCCAGAGTATCCTGATCCATCATTGTCCCATCATAGTCCAATAGGATCAACCTACTGCTTGTTCTCCTATACGCAGGGACTATGGTTTCAGCACAGAGCCTTCTGAAATTCGGATCTAACGCAACAACCTTGAAAAAAAGACCGAATCCAACTCCCCAGAATCTCTTGTTGAAATGATCTTTGCACGCCCTTTGAAGATCTTGGTCATAACTCCGTGCCCAATAGGCCACATTGTGAGAGCTTATGTACTTGTGATGCTTCTGGTGGCGCAGATTTTTCTCTTTGTCAGACATCGTCATTGCAGAGCTCATCGCGTCAGTGACTGCATCGATGTTCCACGGATTAACACGGATCGCGCCACTCAGAGACGGAGAACAACCGATGAACTCAGAAACAATAATCACACTCTTCCTAACATCATCCTCCCCAAAACCTAAAGCCTCATCCAAAGCAGGGCTCCCTTGCCTAGTCACTGTGTACTTGTAAGGCACCAAATTCATCCCATCTCTCACAGCATTCACCACAACACACTCCGAGATCGCATAATAAGCAACTTTATCCAAAGTACTAACAGGTCCATTGACAAACACAATAGGCTTATAACCACCAGGTCTCCCAAATTTAGAATTGATCTCATCAGCAATCAAATTTATCTGTTTCTCTACATCTTGAACATCCTTACCTGAACTCCGAGCAGGATTAGTAATCTGCACGAGAACCACTTTCCCACGAAGCTCTTCGTTCTGTTCAAGAAGCTGACCCATCGCCCAAAACTTCAAGCTAATACCTTTGAACATATCCAAATCATCCACACCCAACATCACAATGTTCCCCTTGAACCTTTCTCTCAATCCCTTCACTTTCTCTGCGGTTTCTTCCGAAGCCTTTATCGATTCAATCTGCCCCATATGGATCCCAACCGGCAAAATCTTGATGCTCACAGTTCTTCCAAAGTATTCAAGACCAATGTAGCCTCTTTTCGATTCATAATCAAGACCAAGCATCCTACTACAACAAGACAAGAAATGCCTAGCGTAATCGAATGTGTGGAATCCAACCAAATCACAATTCAGAAACCCTTTGAGAATCTCGTCTCTCACAGGAAGAGTACGGTAAATCTCCGATGAAGGAAAGGGACTATGAAGGAAAATACCAAGCTTTATCCGATGAAACCTGTTCCTCAAAAAAGTGGGCAAAATCATGAGATGATAATCATGAATCCAGACGTAATCATCATCTGGGTTTAGCACTTCGAAGATCTTATCAGCGAAGATCTTGTTAACCGTCGTGTACGCTCTCCAATTCGATCGATCAAAGAGAGAGCCTTGAGCTTGCGTCATAGGAAGAAGATAGTGAAAAATCGGCCAGAGATAGTGTTTACAGAAACCATGATAATACTTGCTGAGCAAGTCACTAGGTAAGAAAGTAGGAACACATTGAAACTTCTCAAGCAAGAACTGAGAGACATCTTCTTGCTCTGAGGGTAAAACGTCGGCGTTTAAAGATCCGACGTAGACGACTTCCGTCTCCGGAGGAAACCCATCTTTGAGTTGTAAGTAAAGACTGTCATTGTCGAATTCAAAGCACCACTTGTTCGACGAAATGTCTCTATGAGCACGAAGAGGAAGCTGATTCGAAACCACGATTCGTTTAGGTTTTGTAACCCACGCGCCGCCGTTAGGATCGTTGCTTCCGTCTCCGTCGTCGGTTTCGAGACCAGAAAGCTTCGTGACGGCATTGGGGATCCGATTTCGACCCATGATCCGATAATCATCAGCCGAAACCAGACTAAGCTGGTCTTTCCAAGATTCCGGCGACATAACGAAGAGAAAAAAAATATAAAAATTCAAACTTTAAATTGGGTAAATCAAGAAACCAAAGAAGAACACAAATTTGTTTCTGGGTTTTTCAGATTTCATAACATGGAGAGAAGAAAACGCGTAGTTACGAAGAAGAAGAAGAAGAAGAAGAAGAAGAAGAAGAGAGCGTCCATATTGTGGAATTTAAGAAGGAAGAAAAAACGGAAATTTTTTCGGTGAGGATAAGAACGAAACGAAAGAGGAAAATATAAAAATTAAAAAATTAAAAATCAGTATGTGTGGAAATATTTGGACGGTCTTGATTTTCTCGAGATGGATATGATTGGTTAATATGAACCGTTAGATGAGCGCGTGTGGTTTACTCGAACCGACTTTGTCTTTGAATATAAAATAGAAAAGGAAACAAATCTTTAAAAGCTATAACCCTAATTACTGATTAGTTGCTGTGAGCTGTTTTTTCTCTCTTCTCCAATTATATTTTCACTTTTTTTTTAACCTAAATGGGAAATAAATATTTACAGCTATTCATTTCCATATATAAGTTATTTTCAAAAACCTTATTGCTGACGTGGATAATTTGCGGCACAGGTCTTTTTATTTTGAAATAGATATTATTTTTAATACTCACTAGATTTGATTGAAAGCTGCTCATGTCCATCAAAAACCTTAAAATTGAAGGGAAAAATCTATATTTTTATTAATTAATAATTGTAAGTAGTAAATATTAAAAAATGAAGAGGATTAAGGGAAATCTATAAAATTTAATTTTTCAAGCTGTCTTACTATAGTTAAAATTACATTACCAAAAGTATTCTTTCAGCATATTTTAAAACTATCACAATGGTCACATTCATGGTACTCAAATATCAATAGCAAAATAGCATTTTATAAATAAAATAAAATTTTGCAACGATATTTTATTGTAAAAAGAAGATATATACTTTAAAAAAAAGAATCGTATGATATGCTTGAAACACACAAAATCTGAGGCTATTATAGACAAATTTTTTTGTAAAGTACATTTGTACTGCTAATAAAGTGTAAAAATAATTTCGAAAAACTAAATTAAAAAATAATTAAGATTAACAAATTATGTAGCATCTGCCCAACCATAATCACATAACTTCACAATTCATAATTTCATATCCCATAGTAAATAAAATCCAAAATTTAGGAATATTGGTGGGTGGATAGTGAAAAGCCACGTGGCAAACATGTAGAAGAAACGTGGCGTGTTAGGGTGGGGAGAGAAAGATAGGAAAAGTCACGAGGCATGTGCGACTGATGACTTGGCATTACTTTCGCCATCAACGGCAGCTATGTTCTCCAATCATCTTCTGACACGTCATCCATTCCCTCGCAGGAACGTTTCAAACTTTTTTTCCGTTTCTTCCTCATTTCAACGGTATAACATCGACGGCCGACCATAGATTATGACACGTGGCGTTATCTCAAAGGGAACATTTTTAATGCTTCACATCAAATTAGAGCATGGACAGTGGGGCAAGCAGGTGGGTGTGAGTCTTGGGGTGTAGATATTAAAAAAACGAAAAAATTGTCTCTCTTTTTATACCCAGGTGTAAGTTTACACTCGGGTGTAACATTTTTTCTCTCTATCTCTCTTTTTCTTTCTCTTTCTCTTTTCTCTTTTGCTTTAAATTATAATACTAAAAAATACTTACACCCACACAAACACATTTGCTGGTCATACCTTTTTTCTTCAAATTGTATAGTGCTTCATCTAAATTTCAACATTTCTCCTAACTTTTAACTAACATCTAAACTAAACTCGTGATATATACTCCCTCCATTTCAATTTAGTTGTCGTTTTAGGATTTAAATTTTGTTTCATAATAGTTGTCGTTTTAGGTTTTTAATGCAAATGTTTGGTGAAAATTCCAGTTTTATATCTACTGTTTTAATATTTTGACCAATGAAATTTTTTATAAAATATA